AGCTCAGCCCACCAGGGGGCGGGGCTGGCTGGCATGTGGTGCTGGGGGATTGAACCGCAGTCCCTGTGCTTTGCTAAGCTTGTCTCTAAGTAGGTGCTTTAGACCACTGAGCCATCTCACCAGCCCCACCTTCAAGTTTTCTTTCAGTAAAACTTCCAATGGAATTGCCGAGAGGCATTATGCAAGGTGGTCATAAAAATATTTGTAAGTAAAAAATATTATTTGGAAAAATACACAAAAGGTTGTGAAAACTTATAGTTATTTATTGTCATTCTTCAGCATCTATTTTGTGGAAAACAGTTGAATTTATAATGCATCTATCATGGCTTTGGATATAAGTTTTTGTGGTAGACTTAATCTTTCTTAACTTAACCTAAAACTTTAGGGTAAAACATTATTATATGTTGAATTTAGACTATGGTAAATTCATTTCAGTGACTGCTGATACCGATTGAATTAAAAATGTCAAGCTGCCTGGGGATTGGGAAACTTGCCTGAAATCCCAGCATTCAGAAGGCTGAGGCAAGAGGATTGCTGCTAGTTCAAGGTCAGCCTGGGATACTTAGTGAGTTCAAGCCCAGCTCGAATTACAGGATGAGACCCTGTCTCAAATCCCCAAGCCCCAAAACTAATGTCAAGTTGTTTAATACAGTTTCTTATGTCAAAAAATGAAATGAAATTAAGTCACACACACACAAAAGAAATAAATGAGGTCACCCATGTATAAGTAATAATATCCAAGTTTCAGCTAATCAGGTTATTGGACTCTCAAAATTAATAAATAAAATGATTTTTTTTTGGTGGAACTGGGGCAGGGCTGGCTGGCATGTGGTGCTAGGGGATTGAACCGCAGTCCCTGTGCTTTGCTAAGCTTGTTCTAAGTAGGTGCTTTAGACCACTGAGCCATCTCACCAGCCTCTAGTTTTCTTATTTTAACAAAGAGGTAGAAAACTTCTTCTTGCCAGGGAGACGGCTCAGTAGAATAAGCGCTTCCCTGGCAAGCGCAAGGGCCTGAGTTCACTCCCTGGTTCTGCCAAAAAAAAAAAAAAAAAAAAAAGAAAGAAAAGAAAACTTCTCACTCAAATTAAGAAGTTTTTCCTGAGTTAAAATCCCATTTACATAAAACCACTACATTATTCTTCATCTCCTACAAACACGCGACCTTCCTACCTACCATTAGTTAACTGACTGCCCGTGGTGCACACACATTCCGCTTGCACACAGCATTGTTGGTCCTGACTGCACAGCCCTGCTTAACTGGATCTGTGTAACAACTACAGCAGAATCCTTTCTTTTTTAAAAATAAGTAACAATTGTATTTTTTATTTTTTAAAGAAAACAAAATAGTAAAGAAAAGCAGCACTACAAATGATACAAATTTTCACTGAACAAAGTAATAGCAATTCAACAACGGTTGCTGTATTGCATGATGTCATCTACAAATTAGTTGTTTAGGTTACTGGACATAAATGTGCAAAATTGGTTTAAAACAAAACAAAAACGTTACAAGAAATTAAAAAGAACTAAAATAAGAAGAAAAAGAAAAAGATTTTAAGCCTTAACTGCTCCATTCAAAAGACTGGCAGAAATTGGCAGTACACTTATCCAAAATACCTTGCATCTATGCATAAATACATCTTTTTCCATTCTTTCTTTTGTCCTTTTCCTCATCCCAATTTTTCCATCTCATTGGACAAATTCTTTCTCTTAGAACAAAGCCACTTTTGGAGACAAAAGTGAAATGAAATGTTTAGATAATGCTTTTAATTATATTTTCTGGGGCTAAGAAAACTTAATTTTTTTTTTTTTTTAAGAACTGGAGATTGAACTCAGGCCCTTGTGCTTGCCAGGCAAGTGCTTACTCTACTGAGCCATCTCCCCATGCACAAAAACTTATTTTTTTTAATTTATGAATTAATTTAATTGAAGAGCTTAAGTTTTTCTCAAAGTAGTGAAGAAGTTATATACTA